AGTGAGCGAAATTAAGTTCGACATTCAAAATACCTGAAGAAGGCCGGAGCGTACAACGACAGAAACGTTGTAATAAATATGACGACAAAGATGAGGACAATAGTCCGAATAATGTAATTAATGCCGGATGCTCCAATACGAACATTTCAGAATTTTGGCATGTCAATATAAGAACAGTACAGAGGAAAGAGTTGGATGAGTCTAATGGTGATTACGAAGGTGTTTGGAGTGATCACTAGTGATGGCAACGTTATGCTGAATTTCGGAATAAATTTTAATAATTCCCAAAGATCATTATTCTTCAAAGGCCCTTCAAAAAGGATCAAGAGAACGATGGATAAACTGGATCAGGATGTTAAAATAACAAGAAGGATCATCTTTTCAACTTTACATTCGAATTGTTCAAAGTAGAGTCCAACAGTGTTCTAAAAACACAGAATTCCAATAAGATATATTTAATCATTTCTAAGATAAAACGAGTCAAGTGACATTGCGTTTAATCAAGAAACAGACAGTCGCCGCGACGTATTGACTTCAATGTCCGCTTTTATATTTACATACACTGTATTCCTTATATTGAACACTTTAACCCATATATATATATATATATATATATATATATATATATATATATATATGTATATACTCGACTCTTCCGTCGAATACGACGTATGAGGGTCAAGCAGATCAGTTCTTAGGAAATCGACAGCCCAACAACAGCACATGAGATTTGATTATAATGGTGAAGGTTTCGTGCAGGACCATCCACGCTTTTTGAAGGGCCGATTACAGAGACCTGGTGCACTACGTGCCACAAGGTCCCCAAACGACCACCCCGCAGGTTTTGAATTCAGAGTTGTCCTTCTCCTAGACCAGTTGCCATCCAAGGCTATAGAACCCAGTCTGCCCTGTTTTTTACCCATAGCTGGAGAGAGAAGAAGAGGATTCACACATTTCCCAAGGGTATTAGCACGTAAGTGAATGTAATGGATTCGACTGGAATTCGAATATATATATCATATATATATATGATTTTATATTTATTAACTCTTGTTGGACAAAAATAAGTGATAGCACTTTAAGAGTAGTTTATCAATATTGTCACATCAACACAATTTTATCTGTTATGATTAACTAGCTCTTCCGCATGTTTCAAATTATCCCCGCCATATTTAGTACAACGTTAAACCCTATCAACAACACTTCTACAAACCATTTCCACATTAATTTCAAGAAATTCCTTGTTTTTATTTGGGAATTGTCTTCGGCTGGAGCCTGTAAACAAGGGCTTTCAGTATACCACGCAAGAAAAAGTCCGGTTGGATTGGGTCTGGCGATCGTGATCGCCACTCAATTGCTCTACGTCGTCTCATAGACCTCAGCTCCCCCCCCCCCAAAAAAGGTGGTTACTCTCCTTATTTGGAGAGTGAGATGAAAGTAGTCGCAATGCGGTGGTGTGAGAAAAGGATACAATATCGGTCCTTGAAATGTCGGGGCTGCTACATCCGTTTGCATTGACACCAGGTTTTATATTAAAAAAAAATATTTCTCATTTGATACAACTTAACGTAATTAAAAAAATATATATTATACTGCATTATTTTTCAGTCCAGTGTATAAATTTATACGACATCTGGCAGCAAGATCTTTCATCGGAAGATTGCATCTTTTAACAAGCATGGAACTTGGTACTACCTTTTAACTGCTGTTGTTCTCAGGTTCACCCTGACTAGGGGTGGTAGTACCTGTTAGGCTCCCAGCTACGGGCAAATATTGAACTCCCATACAAAACTCAACAGTACATTTTATAGCAAAATGAAAAAAATACTTTTTTATGCAAAAAGAAAAAAGTATAAAATATTTTTTAGTAAAAGTGCCAACACATTTTTCATTAAAAATTATCAACAATGCATTTTTGTATTGAAATTATCAGCAAGACATTAAAAACAAAATTATTAACAAAGCATTTTATGATTATTATTTAAGCATAGCTTCGATGTGTCACAAGGGCCAAAATATGGATCACCCAGCAGGTGTATAAATCCCTGCTAGGCGTAATTGTTCTCGTGAGACCAACTTGCCAAACATTGCACCACAAGGAGAGGCCGCTGCAAAGCATTTTATGTTCTACAATCTATATATTTAAAAAAAAGAGACATTCCTGTAACTTGAAAATATAATGTTATGTACACTATTTACATTATTCAGACTACTGTGCTCATCTTTGACGCCATATTTATTACAACTTTTCGGCCCTTCAGTTCTGTCTATATTTCTGAGATGAGGTATTATGTACACTATTTACATTATTTGGACTATTGTCCTCATCTTTGCCGCCATATTTATTACAACGTTTCGGTTTTCAGTATCTGTCTATATTTCTGAGATGAGGTATTATGTACACTATTTACATTATTCGGACTATTGTACTCATCTTTGTTGCCATATTTATTACAACCTTTCGGCCTTTCAGTATCTGTCTATATTTCTGAGATGAGGTATTATGTACATTATTTACATTATTCAGACTATTATCCTCATCTTTGCCGCCATATTTATTACAACATTTCGGCCCTTCAGTATATGTCTATATTTCTGAGATGAGGTATTATTTACACTATTTACATTATTCGGACTATTGTACTCATCTTTGTTGCCATATTTATTACAACCTTTCGGCCTTTCAGTATCTGTCTATATTTCTGAGATGAGGTATTATGTACACTATTTACATTATTCAGACCATTGTCCTCATCTTTGCCGCCATATTTATTACAACATTTCGGCCCTTCAGTATCTGTCTATATTTCTGAGATGAGGTATTATGTTCACTATTTACATTATTCGGACTATTGTACTCATCTTTGTTGCCATATTTATTACAACCTTTCGGCCTTTCAGTATCTGTCTATATTTCTGAGATGAGGTATTATGTACACTATTTACATTATTCAGACTATTGTCCTCATCTTTGCCGCCATATTTATTACAACTTTTCGGCCCTTCAGTATCTGTCTATATTTCTGAGATGAGGTATTATGTACACTATTTACATTATTGAGACTATTGTCCTCATCTTTGCCGCCATATTTATTACAACGTTTTCGGCCCTTCAGTATCTGTCTATATTTCTGAGATGAGGTATTATACACTATTTAAAATTATTCGGACTATTGTCCTCATCTTTGCCGCCATATTTATTATTTACTGTCTATATTTCTGAGATGAGGTATTATATTATTTACGGACTATTGTCCTCATCTTTGCCGCCATATTTATTACAACGTTTTGGCCCTTCAGTATCTGTGTATATTTCTGTGATGAGGTATTATGTACACCATTTACATTGATCGGAGTATTGTCCTCATCTTTGCCGCCATATTTATTACAACGTTTTGGCCCTTCAGTATCTGTCTATATTTCTGTGATGAGGTATTATGTACACCATTTACATTGATCGGAGTATTGTCTTCATCTTTGTCGCCATATTTATTACAACGTTTCGGCCGTTGTACGCTCCGGCTTTCTTCAGGTGGTAGGAATGTCGAACTGAACCCTTTATTTCGCTCACTGGAGTAGACTGTTCTGCGATAAAGATGAGGACAATAGT